GCAAATCTTAAATTGTTAATATCAGTCCATTTTTTCGGTTGGCCTCCGTACGGCTAAAATTTCACTACTTTGGGGAGGTTGGGCACGTTTTTCGACCAAAATGGTTGTGATTAGTTTTTTGTAATTTCAATCTGTTATAAAATCTCTGTACTAAAAACAGTACACCAAAATATGGGGATTTTGAAGAATTTGGATAAGTGTTTAATAGAATTGGCTGTAATTTGGTATATTGGGTTCCTATTAGGAATCAAAAATAAATTATATAGGACCATTTTTTTTGGTAGCCCACAAAATTTCGGTATTTTAGGGTTATGAGAGCAGTTTTCTACCGAATTCGCTGTAAATTGATATTTTGGATTCCTATTGGGTAACAAATCTTAATCTAAAAATTATTAATATATTAAAAATTATTAATATATAAAATATTCTGAACTCGAAATTGTCTGCTTATATCCTACAAAGTCTGGCATTCTAAGGCGATTTAACCATTTCCATTCGACTCATCATACGTTGGAATCATATCAACTTTAGATATCGAGATACAAAACTAAAAGATCAGGTTCGGCATATCCCCCAAAAGTTAAGCGTGAGGAAGGTATAGAGATACAACAATTCGGTTCCAAAATGAGGACACACCTTCCACCCTACCATGCGTTATCTATATCGGTCTACATTTTGGAGTTTTGAGATTTCAGAAAAATCTCCATACAAAATTTATATTCCGTGGGCATGTATCCCTTATATTATTAATCATTACCGTATAAGAACAAATCTCCATACAAATTTATATTTCGTGTGCATGTATACCTTATATTATTAATCATTACCGTATAAGACGCGACAGTATAATATAGTTCCTTGTGGGATGACACACTTCATTGCAAATAAATGCCTATAAAATATGGTGTAAACATGAGGATACTTGCTATCAACATACCAGAAATACCTGCAGTTTAGTATTTCTGGTATCCAGTACTGCCTATGATATCATTGGAAAATATTGTATAGATAGGTTAATTCTTGATTTCTAAAGATCCCAACCATTTTTATTAGCCACGTGGCGTCCGAACTTTCATGTCAAGTAACTGTCAGTATACCTATAATGAGAGTATCCAAAGTTCGGCGGGCGAACTTTTTTTACTTGTTTGTATTAAAGTTATAATTTTTCAAAATTGTAACATATTGTGGGAAAGGTACCAGAGATGAAGTATCTATATAACCGATAATTACACTAAATCTATCGTAAGTACAATTATTAAGATCTCAAAATTTAGACCACAAAGGATTTACTATTTGCTTAATGTAGGTATTTGTTTTTGTCAAATATTTGACCAGAAAATGTTGCCCTATAGACCCTATCGTCAGATTTAATTTACGGTTTGCAAACTTTTACAATGTCAAAGGATCAGTGGATCACATTCGTTACTCAATTCCCTTCATATGAGATATAAAAATATTGACAATTTGTGGATGAGGTGGATGGAGAGGACCGATAATTCCCATCTTTCAACATTATTCAGGCTTTATTAAAATTAGGTTATGCAAACCTCGACCATATTATGGGGGAGGTACAAAATGGATAAAAAGAAATATTACACTGTGTAAAATTTTGATGAAACCGGTTATCCCCTTCGAGGGCTACTGTCCGTGCCAGATAGATAGATGGACGGACATTTGTAAATCAACTCCAAATTGTCTGAAAGGTATTTTCCTTGAGACACATTGGTGATGGTAGAAAAAATAAGTAAAGACGTCGGTATTTTTGGTAGGGTACGATCATCAAAATATTTAAAGTTGGTCGAGATGCTTTTATGAGGGCTATTCTAAGTATAAACTAGTGATTTTGTGGTATTTCTATCGACTTCCTTCTTTCCTATTTTGTATGAACACCTTGCAGTATTATTTGTAAAATATTAACTTGTGATACGCTACAAAGTGTCTTAAAGAGGTTTTTATGATATATTGTATGTTAAAGCTGCAACACTTTGTGATCCACCACGTTAACATGGCTCTTTATACAAGAATATAATTTTGGGATAATATCTTATTCGTCTACCAAGTGACCTTCATTTATTTTGTACAATGTTGCACCATTTTTAATATACTAGGTCTTAAAAATACTTTTTTTTCCCATTTTAACTAGTCATCCTACATTTTCCAAAATTACGCCGATAGATACTTAAAATGCAACTTTATTTGAATTGTGACAATAACTTAAAAAATAAAATGCTGAACCTGTAAAAAAGGCCAATGACAAAATGTAATAATAAAATAAACAACAACACAAATATACTACAACCCACTATAGCGAGTTAAAAAAAAAAAACACAACAACAACAACCAAAAGACAACGACCAAAAATTTGTAACTGCACTTTGTACAAATTGCCGTACATAAACATAAATACACTTTTCAGGAGGCTAACCTTAGACACAGCTATACGATACACTCTTTAAATTGCAAGTTGTACTTACTCTGATTCACAATCGGCCGATATAAAATTTTATAGCCCTGAATTATGCCACCGTGAAATTGCAATGGTGGCTCCAGCCAGGATACTTTTAGACTTTGTGACGATAATGCGGTACAGTTGACATGTTGCGGTGCTGCTTCCGGCACTGTAATATGCATTTACGTTACGTTTAAAATGAGATAGACGAACGTAGTAGAATGCAAAAAGAAAGAAAGAAAAAAATATAAAGAGAAAAAATGTTATATAAATGCATATAAAAATTATATGTCACTCAGTGAATTAACGTTAGTAGGTGATGGCGGGTAGATGGTACCGTGGTTTGTGAATGTGCTGCAAAAAATTTTAATTATTATTATTAAAATACATTTTGAAGAGTAATTCATTTAACAAATGATTTCGATATTATAAAAATGAACAAATAATCAATTTGAGAAGCAGAACTCCCATTCTGCCTACAATAATTACATGTCCATGGTGACGTATAAAGAATATTAACTCAAATTGTGTGATAATTATACGTCCAGATGGTCATAAACATATGTAAGGGTTCAATAATCATCTATCCCATTACGAAAGGCGTGTGGATAGACTGAGTTTATGGAAATTGACAGCGGCGAAGAATAATGAGCTAAGAAGTCTTTTTTTTAATTCGCCCAATATATGGTAGAATTGGTATTGTATGAACAATAATCAAGATTAAGAATTTTTTGTTAAGTGAGTGGTTCGTGACATGAGATGAAATCATGGTTTTGGCAAATATTGAATAGAAGTGCTACAGAAATTTGCTGTTGGTATGTATGATTGTAATAATAAGGTATTTTCGAAATTTTGTATTAAATGTACACTGAAATGGGTACCAATGACATATATTCTAATAGAACAGAAACTCTGACGTTGGGTTAACAATATGTGTGTAGGATTAAGATAAGGCGGTTGTCCTGTCAATTAATATTTTATGTCTGCTACATTAATTGCAATATGTAGGGAAGGAATGGATATTGAATCTTCAACATTGATACAATTTTGTGTTTGGAAATGTACGATTACGAAAAATTCTAAAAGCTCTTATTTTGGTTGATCAAAAGAAGTTACTAGTAGATGGAATTATGACGATGGTCCTGGAAATTCTTACCCTAAGTGTGAGTGAAATTTTGTGGCTAGCACTTAAATTATTATATTTGGCTCATGAACGGTTGTAGTATATAGGATATCCAAGAGTTATCCAATTCATGGATTCAAAAATATGGGACTAGAATTCGACATCTCTCAAACTAAGCTTTTAAACCATTTTTATACAATGTTCGGCCCATTTTTGTTCACCTTTGCCTCTCTTATGACCATTTCCAGCAAGATGTAAAAAGGCCACACGACAAACTGTCACCTTCTTGGAAACCTTGTTCGGTATTAAAGGGCTCCGAGAGGTCCTTTCCGACTTTAACTGCTGAACTTGTGCTAGTTAGAGTTATCCTGCATAGCCGTATTAATTTTGCAGGAATCCCGAACACAGACATAACTTTAGACACTTCTAAACGGATAGGTTCGTTGAATGCGGCTTTATAGTCGACGTATAGGTGGTATGTGTTTTTCGTGGGTCAGGATTTGACGCAGATTTAGATATAGTATATAGGATATCCAAGAGTTATCCAATTCATGGATTCAAAAGTATGGGACTAGAGTTCGACATCTGTCAGACTAAGCTGTTACACCATTTTTATACCCTCCATATATACGTAGAATCACTTTCTGAGTCTAATTATGTTTATCCGTCTGCCTGTCCATGTTAAATAAATAAAGTACATGTCGCATTTATGATCCGAATGATAACGAATGGTTCAGATTTGGATATATCTTCCATACATATGCTTCTCCGATTTTCTGTAAATGATGCACTGAACTCAAACACTTGGTCCGATTCAATCGAAATTTGAAATAACTTACTGTATTGAGTCTACAGTAACGTATGTCAAGTTTAGTGAAAATCGGTTCAGATTAAGATATTTCCCTCCGTTTTTATGCAAAAGGTGCACCAAACTCCCAATATATGTTCAATTGAGAAACATTTTTGCATAGCCTTAGAATCGTTTAAGATTTAGATATAGCTCCTATACACATTTTCGTCTGATTTTATGTAAATGGTACACAGAAGCTTTTATACTTCTCTCGATTTACATGATGTTCTGCATAGCGTATCAAATTTAGTCTATGTTGGCTAGGTTTCCTTAATATCGGTTCAGATTTAGATATAGCTCCCATACATGTGTTTATTCGATTTTAGGTAAAAGGAGTCCTAAACTCCTATTATTTGTCCGATTGAGACGAAATTTTGCATTGAATATTAAATTGAGTGTTTTGTTGAAATCGGTTTAGATATTTTTGTCCGATTTGATGTAAATGGTGCACCAAAAATCTACGTTTGTTCGATTTATACGAAATTTTGCACATCGAATTCAGTTGGGTCTAGAATGATATTTATTGAAATCGGTTCAGATTTAGACATAGCTCCCGATTTTGTAATAGGTGTACCTGTTACACGAAATTTGCACAGCCTATTGAATTGCATCTAAAATGGCGTAAGATGGGAATAGCGCGTAATGGATATTTTAAAATATGTTCTGATGTGGATGTAACCCTTATATATTTTCGTTTGAGTTGACGCTGTACTGCAGCATATCAAATAGTGTGTGCCACGTTTGCTCATATCGACCCAAATTTACATATAGCTCCGATACATAATTTGTGCTATATGGTACACCAAAGAACCCATGTCTGCCCGATTGACGTGTTTTTTCATAGATTTCAGAATGGTATGAGTATGGATTGATTTAAACTAGTTCAAATATCTATATCACTTATTTAATTATGTCCGATTTCATTATTTCTATCGAAAAGGTTCATTTAAAAGTCTAACATTGACGAAAATGGAGAAAGACAGTGAAAACGTACAGATATCTTGTCTTAGAGAACCCTATCTGATACATAAGGAGCCACTTTTCAGTAGAATATTTGTACGCCAAAAATCTTGGACTTAAGGTACAACAAAAAAAAACCATTTGATTTTGACCGACGACATATAATCTACAAATAATATGTAATAGCTGCAAACAGAGATGTAAAAAACATTAGAGTTTTGTTTGCAGCTATTACACATTTATGAATTCTAAGGTCACAGACTTTTGCAGTGTCGAATTTGTCCCACTGGGTTCTAAATAAACTCGCCGATAAGGATACGAATAGTACACAAAAACTCATTATATTCTATTATTGTACTGGGCGAAAATCGCTGTCATGAGTGCAGCGTAAGAAAATTATTAGAATTTAGTCGCATGCGTGTCGCTATTGGGGCAAACATGCTGTAAACTTTTGAGATGCATGTATACGAATATTACATAGTGTGAATTGAGAAAATCCTTTAGAAAAAGTTGCCACAAAAGTAACTAATTTTGATTGGAATTTACTACTTTTATATGAGTCCGAAGATACAATTTTGGTAAAACTTGTCCCATTGTCAATTTGTGGTATGGGCAGAACGGATATTTATAAACTTTCCATTCCATTATAAGTACTATAAGAAATAGAAGCTACAGTTCCATCTCTACAAAAAAATATATAAATTTTTAATTTTTATACCAGAACCTTAATAATTTCTACCTTCCCACCCCGCCTATGAAAGTATATCTGTTTCAATCAAAGCCAACTTAATGTATCATCGTAATTTACAAAAATAACACTTATTTTATAAACTTAAAATCCATATAACCCTCGACCATTTATCTTCTTTGTCTTGTTTTAGCCTGGCCAAGTTAACTTTTAAGTTATTAAATTTAATCACATCATTCCGAGTCCCTTAAACCACTTTTATGCGTCATTCTACATTGGTATAAATGGTTTTAATATCCAACCATTAACGAAAAAATACAAATAGCCAGCACACCGTCGTACCATCGCTGGTGTCCGTATAAGGAACATATAATGCCTTGAGGCCATTTACGAATTGTCTAAAAGTAAAAATACTTCACACACACATACCTATGTATGTATAGCCAGCGTTTGGGAAAACGGAAAAAGCGGGAAGATATATGAGACCGGTGTTTCTATAATACATGAAAGCTCTTCCGACAGTTTATATTTTGTGGCACACAAATAAACCCACAAAAAAGAAAATAAGAAAATTCCAAAGCAAAGCTAACGATGAACCAAAAACAGCAAAAAATGGAAACAACCAAGAAGAATTGTGATAAAAATAGCACATAACACGACGACGACGACGCTAAAAGCATTTTTAATGTTTGTTGTTATTAAGATAACAATTTGTACAGCTGTTACCTTCAATACAAAAAAATACGAACGTGGGCATGCGGGCGAATATCACGTAGAAAACGCGAGTGAGTGAATGAATGAGTGAGTAGAGACCATGGCAGACAGACAACAGCAAAAACAATTGTCTGCCAAGGATTCTCTTTGCCACTTATTATATTTTTATTTAAGCTAAAGTGAGAAATATACGCTGTTCACATCCACACCACATAAACGTCACCGTCATCATCATCACCATCGCTCGCCATCGCCAGTGAATACTTTGCACTTTTTATCCACGGCATTTTTGTCCTTACCACCTCTACTTTACTCTACTCTACACTTACCTCCCTCAGATGTTGTCCCAAAGATGGGCGTACTCCATGGTCCCGAACCAAAACTATTCAAGGCTCGCACCGTAACCGCATACCGGGTATACTTTCGTAAGCCACGTAATGTGGCCTTCGTTGTGGCCCAGCCACTTACAATCACAGACTTCAGTGAATTATTGACAACGCTAATGTAGTTGATATTCTGTTTTTCTTCGCTACAGTTGACGGTATAGCCGATGAGTTCGCCATTCCAGGATTCACGTGGTGGTATCTGCAACAAGATGGAGAAGAGAAAGAAAACAGAAAAAATATTAAGAGAATTAAGGTATGTAGATTACAGTTGGGAAAGTGAAAAAAATGTTAAATAGTTTGGACAAACAAAATCTGTAATATTAACTTGGAAACTGTTCGATTCGATTAATAAAATACTGTTGATTGTTGTTTTATAAGGTGGAATGTGCATTAAATCGGCCGCCACTTCGAAATTTTCGTCGGAGACCAATATGTATAGTACCGAAGTAGATATAATATATCAGTCCGGGTTTTAGGGGGTAAGTACAATTTTTTAGAGACATTTTTAGACATAGACCCTAAAAATTATTGATATAGGTACATGTACAGGGTGCTATGTCAAACCCTCAAATTAAGACTATTGAAAAATGGCTGTAATTTGGCATTTCGGATTATTGGTGAGTAAAACACTTGGTCCTAGAATACATTCAATATGAATTTCAAAAATGTTTTTTAATCCCTTAAAAGATTGTATATTGTAGTATGTTTAATGATTATTTTTCAAGAACTATAACAATCTAGGCAAAGTACCCGCTACTTCATATGCGGAAAGGGAGTACAAAACAAATAAATAATGTTTCATATGGAAATCGTGAATACTGATAATTTGTTTCCATTTCACCTCTATTCCTACATATAATATCAGGTATATTACCATATAGTACTCTTCATACACAAAATCACTATTTTCCGAAATCTCTTTCTTATTTCCATTATACCGATTAAAAAGTGATCAAAAGCCAATTTAATATTTTAGGAAATACCTATAGTTTTCACATTTAGCACTTTACGAAGAAATGAGTACACAATTTTCAAGATTCCCTCCATACCACCACCACTACTAAATTTAATACCAGGTAGTTCCAAAAACCTTTGGTACTTCTTTTAACTCTCCTTCAGTTACCCACTCAGCATTCCAGTTCTATCCATTTACCCAAATCCTAATTGTATCAAATTTAGTACTTTTCATACTCATAAATAAGAATTTTTAAAACTACATCAATCCAAACTCTAACAGTAATCTTTGTTCCATCAAAGTCCAAATTGTACCAAATTTAGTACGTTTCGTACTCATAAGTACTAATTTACAAAAGTACCTAATTCTTGATTTTAAATAGTAATCGTTAAGAACAAATTTAAGAATTCTAGTTCTATCTGTTCACCAAAAACCACATTGTACCAGATTAGGTAGAATTCTATAAAATATTTTTAAAAAATATTCCAAACCTATTCCAGTTCTGCCCTTTCACCAAAGACCAAATTGTACCAATTTTAGTTATTTTCGTACCCAGTACGAATTTCCCAAACTACCTCAGTCATGCATTCCAATAACAACTTTAAATCCACAATTAAGGATTACAGCTCTATCCGTTCACCAACATCTAAAATGTACCAAATTTAGTATCATTTATTACTTTTCGTGGACGTAAGTACAATTTTTCAAAACGACCTCAATTCCAACAACAATTTTAATCATAAATATCTGGATCTCAGCCCTATTTGTTCACATAGATCAAAATTGTACCACATATATAGTATAGTATTTAGTACTTTTCGTACTTATAACTTCCATATTTTAGAATTCCCGCCCTGCCCGTTCACACAAAACAAATGGTACCACATTTAGAACCATTTCTTGCTGTATATATATATATATATTATATTGTATCATAGTTAGTACAATGTAGTACCCATAGTATAAATTACCAAATTAAGCTTAATCCAACACTCTAACGGTAACCTATAGAGTATTGTTTCCATATAAGTAAAATTTTCAAAACAACATCAAACTTGCAAAACTTCCAGAATCCCAGGTTAAACCTTCACATTAATTCCACTTGTACCACACTTAGTACATCTAGTACTTTTCACATCCAAAAGTACGAATTTGCGAAACTACCTCAATCGTACACTCCAACAGTAATTTTTTGATACCATTTAGTACTTTTTGTTTTCCTAATTAGGAATTTCCTAAACTACATCAATCACACACTCCAACAGCAATTCTAATTTTTAACATTTTGGAGTCCAGATCTATCCGTTCACACAAAATCAAATTGTACCCAATTTAGTACACGTAAGTACGATGCCTCCATATCCCAACTCTAAAAATTGGTCCAGGTTTATCCGTTCACCAAATTACCAAATTTAGTACCGTTTATTACTGTTCGTACCAATAAGTACGAATTTCCTAAACTACCTCAATCCGTCACTCCAACAGTCATTTTAATTCCCAATTTGAAGACTCCAGCTATATCTGTTCACTCAAATCCAATTGCACCAAATGTTGTACTTTTCCAATATAATAATCCTAATTAATATTTTCATATTTTCAAATTTTGTATCGTTTCGTACTTTTTATAGACTTAAGTATAAGTTACCATCAACCTGTCAACACCATCAACCTGTATTCCATATACAATTTCAAGATTCTAGCTATATAGGTTCAATTTGTATACAATAGAACTAAACTTAGCAAATTTTAGTACTTTTAGTACACTTATAGGTCGAATTTACAAAAAAACCTCTTTTACATCTTTCTAACTTTCCATGTGGGACCAACATTGCAAATTTCAGAATTCTAGCTCTTCCCGTTCGCCTAATAAAAAGGGTACCACATTTAGTACATTTTGGAACTTTTCGTACTCATCTAGTTGGATTTTACAAAAACCCAGCATTATTTCATGTCTACAAACCAACAACAACTCACACGTTTATGGGCGGAGGACAGTTTATGGGCGTGATAACGGAGATGATGGGCATGTATGGCTATATAAATCTATATTTAGCCAATATATTAAGGTCTGACTACATATAATTTACTATTCGCTTTATATAAGGCATATCTTTTTATCAAATATTTGAATCTGAGGAGGTACCGAAAAAATTGCCCTACAGACCCCATAATCGTTGTTTGGTAAAAGCATTACGATCTATATGGTGTGGATTGAATCAGACATTTCATTTGCTTGGTATTGTGTTGAAACTTTTTCAAAATATTGCCCCGTTGTGGGAAGTGTGGAGTGGAGCAATAAGTCCCATTCTCGGACCTAATTTGGAATGGTTAAAATTCTACAATTCGCAGATTTTGTATTAAATCGGACATGCAATTCGGTACCAAATTCCCTCTTTTTACAAGTTTTCAAAATATTGACCCTTTGTAAATCTACTCTACACTTACCGAAACGGACTAGGTCCAATGAAACATGGGCTCTAAAATCAATATTTCTATGAGGCACTTTTGCCGTAGCAAAATGTATATTCCCTCATAAAAACCACACCTGATATTTTTTAATGAATATTTTCAGGGCCAAGTATAAACGTGCATTTTGTACCTGTGCACCTGAATGATTCGACCTGTACAGGGTTGCCCATATTCGACGGAACCATTTGGCAACGTTATAACTTTTGACAGAGATGTCACATCGCTTAATGACATACCGCGTTTGAAGCGTCAGTCCAAGCAGATTTTTACCATGAACCAATACACGCCACGCGAGCGCTCTGAAATAGTTGAAATTTACATTCAACTGAAGAAGTCAATTGTGAAAACTCAACGTGCTTTTAAAACATTAAAAATGTGAGAAGTGCGCCTTCTAAGAACACCATTAAGCATTTATACGAAAAATTTTCGACTGGTAAGGCTCTTTCTAATCCGAAGAGGCCATAAAAAGTCGACCAAGGCGATCGGCCGAGAATATCGCTGCCGTACGAGCCAGTGTTGAGAGGTCCCCAAGAACATCCCAAAAACGCCGTTCTCAGCAGTTGGGCATGGCTCGGTTCACTTTACAACGGATTATTCGCATTGATTTGTTCCCGTATAAAATTCAATTGACGCAAAGAATGTTGCCTGCGGAAAAGCTTCATCGATTGGAATGAGCCCAAAGAGTCATCGAAATGGCCGAAGATGACGAGCAATTTTGGAACAAAATTATCATGTCCGATGAAGCCCATTTCACATTGAACGGGACCGTAAATAAGCAAAATTGCCGTTTTTACGCCACTGAAAATCCTCAGAAGATTCAAGAAGTGCCTCTTCATGACGAAAAAGTCACAGTTTGGTGCGGCGTTACACAGTGTCACGACCGCGGCCAAAAATGGTCAAAACCAAGTACCACGGAGGACAATTTTTTTGATGAGGATTGATAGAAAACACTCCAATTAGAATAAATATGAAATTTTATAACGATATGTTAAGTAGTTTTGTCTCTACAAAGGTTCAAATCTGATAATTATTTATAAACTGATTTTTTACCATATTTTCGAAAAATGGATGTGTTTTTCTGATGCTCAAATATTTGAATATTCAAATTAACGGTTATTATAAAAGTGTTTATTTTGGTTGCTGTGGATGTAAAAACTAGGATTCGTTTTAGTTTGTACGTATATAGATATCATATGGTGTATACAGTCGTCCACACTTGTTGTACTTAGTTCATCAAATTTTTAAAACAAATTTTGAAATTAGTGGAGCAGAAAAAAAAGTTTTAAAAAGGTTAGCTCTAATTTTTTTTATTTGAGTGTTGAAAAGTGTGTTATTTAAGGAATAAAAAAAATTAGCTGCGGAGTCCTGCGGTCCTAAGAGTTATTTAACTTTTTTGGTGACAACCTTATTAAAAAATATGGCATATTCATGAAATGGTTAGAAGCGAATGGTCAAATATGTTATGTATACAATTAAATAAGTTATTGAGGGTCAAATAGGAGGAGAATATGTATTGAGAACATAGAAATAATACAATATTTTACATAAAATTTGCAATTAAGTGGTAAAAACGTTATTCGAAGCGAATATATGGGAGAATTGGTTTTAAAATATAGCTTTTAAATAAATTTTCAGTCAGTTTGAAGATTATACTTATTTATCAGATCATTTGAGACATAATCTTATACTATAAATTTTTTTTTCATGTGCGACATGAATTACATTTGTGGAAAGTTCAAACAGAAAAATATTAATTCATGGCATGGGATATGCAA